TTATTTGTGCTACTGGAACATCATTTTGTGTTTCCCAACTTCTCAGTTTGTGTCACAACCCAAAGGTAATTGAACCCTACTTTTGTGTTTAAGTATAGCAAAAAGGCAGTCTGGAGTTACATGTATCTCAGGAACTGACAAAAAGTGCAAGCCTTCTAGTTCACTGAGTTCCTGGGAAGAACACAGAATCTTACTCTGGTTGCCCCAGACAATTTAGCCTGGCTCCCCCATGGCCTCCCAGCCTAGCTAATGAGAAATTCCCCAGCAAACCCCATATAAAAATGCTTTTTATACCTCTTTAAAAATGCCTTAGATTCTCTATATATTTGGTAAGACTTTTTACTTCTTTAAAATGTCCCTTGTTGCTCCTCTAGATAATGTTCCAGTGATGTATTGCCACAGTAATACAGGACTGCAAAGCAATGGGCTAGCCAGACAAATATTAAATCTTATTTTCCTCTTCGCTTAAAAGAAGCAGAAAACCCTTTGGCAAATCAGAGCTCTTGATGCTTCTCTGTCCTCCCACTGGAAACCCTGCCCAACCTACCCTATCTCTGAGATGCTTTCTGTGTTAGATGTGGGGGCAGCAGTGCAAGCTTGCAAGTGTGGCAGTCACTGTTAACAGAGAGAAGCAGGGTGAATGAGCATTCTACCTCTCTTGTCCTCTGGGACATAACACATAACTGTCTATTAAACCACAAAACATTACTGATCTGCTAACTAAGTCCCTAAGATTCAGAAAGAAAAAAAGAAAGAAAAAAAAAGATTCTTGTTCTTTAAATTTAAGTTCAAAAGCAATTATACAAAATTGAAGAACCGGGAAACTTACATATACCCTTTGCTAGATCACAGACTAATACCAAGAGATTATTTTTTCATATCATCAGAGCAACCTCTCCCTCATAATTAGGCTAGGAAGGATTAGATTTTTATCAGTAAATAACAGTAAACATCGATTTCACAGTACACACACAAACTGACGAAGAATATTTCCATCTACAATAACTGAAATGTACAGAGAAATGAAGCAAGAAAAATGTGGCTTAAGAATTTATTAGAGTTTGATTTAGGGATGTTTTATTTTGTATATTTTAAGATGTGATCTTGACAATTTGTGTTTTAACAGTTATAAAGCTTTAACTTTTTGAATCTCAGTGTCTACTATCATTAAATAATTGTCAACACCCCCAATAATTTCCCACAACTGTGAAAATTTTAATCCATAAAAATTGGGAAAAAATGCTTGAAGTCCATGATTTTTCAGTGAGGTTTTTACCCACGAAAGCTTATGCCCAAATAAATCTGTTAGTCTTTAAGGTGCCCACCAGACTCCTTGTTGTTTTTGTAGATACAACCTAACACGGCTACCCCCTGATACTTAAAAATCAACACTGATATTATACACTGAAATCATAAAAATATAAAAATACAACTCTTCTAAGCTTACTTATAATGTATTCTATTGATTCTCCAAATTAATACACACAGCTTAAATTATGATAGAAAACTGTCATTTACAGAACTAGTTCAAATCACGTTTAAAGAATCTGAACTGACTCCCCAATAATAAGAAGGCTTGGACTCCTGTAAAACCTTTCAACTGGACAGATAACTGGGAGAAGAGCTTTTAATCGCCAGTCTAGGTAGAGGTTAAAATTTTACATAAAGAAAAGACAACCAACTGAACTAAAAAGACAAAATCCTTGCAGTAAATAATCAACGTGATTCATAAAAACATGGCCACATGAATTCCATTGACAACATGCACATTGATAAAGCTCCACATGTTGCATTAAATATCGCCTGCAAATCAATGATTTGTAAGCATCCTCCATTGTTCAGAACCTCATTGAAACTTTGACGGTGAAGTGCTATTTTTTGAAAAACTGAAGTAGCCACATTAACAAAGTTCTAGCATTTGTGGTACTTTGAAAGCTACAACACCTCAACAAGAGTTCTATTTCCATCCTTCCAAAATACTTCTAATTTACAAATTACAATAATCAGGAGAGCCAGTCCAGCAAATACTGAAATCAACGATCACATGCTTTCAAACCTACTGAGCTAGCTCTTACAGTTGTGGAAAGTTCACTGGCTCTGCATTTCCTGCCTTGCAGAGATGATAATGCCACAGGACTGGAGCTTGTAAACTCTGCAGCTCTCAGCTGAACAAGGGCTCTGCTTCAACACAGTTTAAATACTGTGTACAACTAGAGCTTCAGTCACACCTCAGGGGACATATTCAGCATTGGCATGACAGAGAGATTTTGTTAACTGCGGTTCAGATAACTGATTATACTCTACAATAAAATATTTGGGGAAATTAATTTTTTGGAAGAACCGAAAAAATTCTAGTTGACTAGCTACTGCTTTGAAAATGCCTCTTCAACCCTAGGATTTCAATAAAATTAACCACAATTTTTTTTACAAATTAAGATTTATTTTAAAAAATCCATTTTCTATGCAAATATAAGCAAGAGAGGCTGGGTTGTTTCTGCTCAGGCAACAACATACATTCTCAACTACTTTAGTGTTGTATGGGGAGGCCATCATTAAAAACAGAACTTAGTTTAAGGCTTGCAATGTAAGTGTCCTGTTATGCAACTAAATAAGGCCAGGTCTGCACTAAAAAGGCGTTAGTACGAGTATACCCTCCTAGCGCAGACGCAGCTTATACCAGCAAAAAAGTGCTGTTTTAGCTTATGCTGGTTCGGAGAGCAAAGTAAGCTATATCAGCAAAGGCATTTTTAGGCCAGTATAATGGTCTAATTGAGCTTTTGCTGGTACAGAAATTCTGTAAAAAAAAAAAAAAAAAAAAAAAAAAAAAAGTCACACATCTAACCAACATTGCTGTAGTAGCTAAAGTTACTACTATAGACCTGGCCTAAGAAGCTTCATTAGCTCAGGGAAAGACAGAGTTTGTGCACACAAGCCAGAAGATAATTCCTCAGAAGTCACAGTGGCTCTGTTTGCATCCACACACAGATGTGCAAAACACCAGAGAAGAAGAGTGAGGAATATGTTAATTTAAAACATCTAGCAAATGGTTCACCCTTAACAAGTCCAGTTTCTGGTGTTTTCAAGGGGAAAAGGTATATTGTTGAGTTGGGCTGGGGAAGGTAGGGGCATGAAATGAGAAGCTGAAGCATGTTTTTCCCCCTTTATTGAAGTTCTACATCACACTACTAGAGTTAATGCAAACAGGAAGATCATAAAAGAACATAATGAAAGTCTTGCACACTGGGACTAAGGGACTGGTTTCAGTTACTGAATATAGCTGTGGAGGCACACCACACAACAGTGAGTAACTCCACAGTATTACACCACTATATATTATGGCTTCTTAATGTATTTTCTGTATAGCTCTTCAGCCTTATTCCAGTAAGCAGCTTCATGCCTCATGTTTTGTACCCTATCCAATATAAAGGTTTATAAGATTAAAATTCACCTCTACAAAGTGTGTCAACATGCATTTCCTTAAATTAGATGTAAAGTAGATCACACACACAATACACAATTGTAATATATCATTCCAAGGGTCTAGAGTTAGAATTACTCGTATTTTCAGCTAGTAACAGGATACCCTGTTGCCCATTATCTCAGCTCTGTGAGAAAATGGGAGCAGAAGCAGCTAATTTGTGAAAACTCTTTCACAAGCTCTTCTTATAACTCCAATATATTCACTAACCTCACCCAGAAAACCCAAATGCACTCCATCCTAGTGATGTGTACAGATATATTTTTTGTACCTCAGCCTTGTGTTATATTTAATATAATTCAGGATTTTTGATAGATAACATTGGTTACTCCACTCCACTGCTGTTTGAGACTAAGGTCAAGCAAGAAAGACTGAGAGTGCTCTTTTCATGCACTGTTAGCTCCAGGCACAAAGGGGCCTTCTGCATCACAGTCAGGGGTTTTCAGCAGCAGGAATATTTGCTATCAAAGAACAGTGAAAATACAAATCGTTCAAAGCAGCCATAGTGGAGAAGATGCTGTACCCAGAACAACATACACTATGTTTTATACAAAATGGAATGCCACAAGTACCGTGGCAAAGACAAATTTGTCTTAAAGACCAGTCAGATACTGACTATGGTGAAAATAATCCCTTGTGAACTTGTTTCCCAGTGATTCTTATAATATCCACACTGAATGGGGATTTATTACCATTGTTTATTTTCATATTACTGTTTAGCATCTATTTAGATTGTGAATTCTTGTGGTCTACCACTGCTATAATACCATAATATGTTTCTATATTAAGACAGTATTGAAGTAGAGTTAATGTTAACCATTTTATCACCTTAAAATCAAAAGAAATTATATACAAATTTGTGTTCTGAGAATTCCATAGATATTACACAGACAAAATATGTACTCCAAATCAAAATAGCATTACCTACATCAGACTGGGTAAATAACTTGCCACCAACCATACACCTAGACTAATCTGACATCCTAACTTGCTTAATCTACTTTAGTTTCTGATCCCCTTTTTATTCAAATGTTCAATGTAATATAGGTTAACAGGTTCTGGACACAGGTCAGGTTTACACAGACACTGGTAAATATATTAGATCTTTCCAAACTTATGTTCACCTGGTCTAAGAGTGCTTTGTAATTTCTTCCAAGAAGAGCAATACACACATTCCAATTGAGATTGAAGTTTAAAATTCCTATTAGAATAGATTTTATGTAATTAGATTGGAATGAATGTGCAACAGTGCCATTGCAGAAAACTTCAAAGCAGTTATACTGGAGAAATCACAACCCATTTCTATGTGCCCACAAGAAGAAAGAATGGCTCTCTTGAGGATAAGAGTATATTAGTCTCTGTATGTAATAGATTTTATTGACCATATGGAACTGATATAAAAATTGTGTTGCAGTGGGTAGTCTTGGATTTGAGACAGGAATGTGACACAAAATACAGTTTCTGTAAAATGCCTGGCTGCTTTCCGGCAGCCTTTGCAATCAGAAAAACCTAGAACATTTACCTGATTGAGTCACTGATGAGTCCCAGTTCAAAGCAAAATCTGAAGATTCACCCTCTTCGACTGAAAGAGAACAAAATACAGTTTGTGATTTCTAAACAAAATGGGAAGCACGAGATAATTAAAGTCCCATATACTATTAAAGTGTTACAACAGATTTCTGCACCAGTGAAGAAAAGATTATTGTCCATAAAATAATTTTAGGGTGATAATTTAGTAAAGTTTCTGTCCAAACATTTTCAACTTGGCTACTAAATTTGTGCCTGAATATTTTTCCCCCCATCTACAATTAACCAAATTTGCACATGCAAATGTGAGTGAGGTTTAACTACCACAATGTATTGTGGATGTGCACATTTAGGGGGTTGGTGCACACAAAAACTGCAAAATTGTGGCTGCAAAGAGACTGTTTTGAAAATGTCACTCTAACGTATCATACCAAAGATATGTTCTATGAAAACAATATTGACTGATGTAATTAAACAATATGAAGAACTACAAAATTTATGATGTTTTAAAAAGTTTGGTATCCAAAACACTATATGTTAGGTACAGACACATTTTGTAATATTGCAGTCACATAGGCACTTTTTCTTTGAATATTTATATTGTAACTTAAGGCCTGATCATGTGAAGACCATGGGGGTAAGATGCTCAGTACCTTGCAGAATCAAACACTCATCTAGCACTTGGGAAAGAAGTAAACACAACATTTTATCTTTAGCTGTTCAAATTTTGTTTAGCCAACCTTGTGCCCCTTAGAAACAGCCAAGAGACCAGCTGCCAACTAGGAGCCCAATTCTACTCCCACTTCAGTCAATAGCAGTTTTACTATTGTCAAACTGTGTGCATTTGAAAGTCAGAGGTGCAGAGATTGTTAACATATAAACATATACAACAGTGTTCTTATTTCTCCCTCATAAATATAGTTTGGATATTGGACCTTTATTCTCTGACATACACCATTTTACTGTACACTCAACACTACTACCCCTCTCCCCCTTATCCACACTTGACTTCATCTAAAAAATGGACTTCTACAGGATCCTGCAGCTGAAGTCGATGTACCACTCTAAATTCACATTACATAGCTCCCATTGACCACACTGGTGGTTGTATGCCCAGACCTTAGAGCTAGGTTTATGGCCCTTAGATTCAATTTTTATTACCTGGAAGCCTCATTTTTTTTCCAGCAGGCTCTAATATCTTTGATGCAGTTCTAGCAAGTTGATGTGGGTGGTTTTAAAAAGAAATTGGGAATAGAAAAGATAACTAAATGGGTAATATAAAAAAAGTATTTGGATGCACTGTAATCTTATGTGCAGATCGCACAACAAATGTACATTCCATAGAAGGCTACAACTACAGTAGTGCTGTTGTATAATTTTATTACTTCAACAAGACTGGCCACTTCAGTTGATGCTGATGATCCTTTAAAATTAGCTGTAGTCTTTTAAACAAACCTACATGAACACAAAAGCACATTTCACAAAATATTATATTTGGAATGATGGAAAACAAAGTATAAAATGTGAAAATCAATAAAACTCCCATTTGTTTTGACACAAGTAGGATTGGGCCAAACATTTGCTCTAGTAAAAGGTTCACCCACCATTTTGTATCTCTTAGAGCACCATCTTGTTTCATTTTTGTGACAAGTACTAAAATGCAAAAGGAAAATTCTGGACATAATGAGGCTAAATATTGCTTCAGCTTTTACAACAGGTATGTTTCAACAATAAAATTACATGTACTTTGGGAGAAAATATTTTTCCCCCAACATGTCAATTAAGCTAACTTTATATTGCATGTCTTATTCAAAAAGGATAAACAGAATGTTTTTATTTTATTATGGAAATTTTAAAAAATCACTTTTCTAACGGATAAGAGAATAAAACTTACTAAATCTGCTAAAAAATATGGCAAGGCCTTAACTTCAATAACAGTTAAATAAGATATATATGGAACCACTGTTGGTCATCTGTAATTTTAACAACGGACTAACTCACATTTTGGCTAAACACAAGCGACTTGAGCTGTAGGTCACTTGATTTCAACAGTACAACAACACTACACTTTTAGGAATCCCTTAAATGACGCCAAAGGTTAAATGCTTAAAAGATTAAATGAATGCCTCTACTGGCATTAATTTGTTTTGCTCTACTGAATGGATGAGGGAGGGAGAACACTACATTTTTATATTTAAATGAAGATGACAACACTTAAATTTCAATGAATATTATTGTTATGATTTCAGGTTCTTCCCCACACACTCATGCAAACATATCACCTCATCTAACATTTTCATGTAGCAACGGAGTTGATTGTCTCACTAGTTTAGGCATAAATGCATTTTAGCTGTTGTTGCTCACCCCACTAATTTTTTGCTCTCTCTTTTTTCATTTTCTTTCTTTTCCTTTTTTCTTCCACTTCTCTCTCTCTCTTTTTTTTTATTTTAATAAACACACTATCTTTACAGGATCAAGGATGAGAAAAAGTAATAGCAACCCCCCTCTAAGAGCTATTGTTACGTCTGACTACTGTGCAACTGAACAGGTTTTCTTTATCCAGCAGAACAGGACTTCAAATTGGTCTCTTCAACAATAAGGTAACTGGCAGGGGCGATAGGAAAAAAAAAAGCCAGATCACTTCACACTGTTTGAGATGGGTGCTTGCTGTGGAAGCAGGAGCACATAAGGTAGCAAGTGGTACTAAAGGCTGGCATGGTTAGTCTTGTACTTCCCTGAAATGAGATTCTTACTATAGAAATTATTATTATTCTGCAGCACCATAACAATGCATGGGGCCTAAGAGACAATTAGAAAGATAGACTAATCTTTTTGGACAAGGGACCTAAGAGGGGCCTGCAAACACTCAGGTTACTCATGTGCCCAACTGTTTGCAAGACCAGACCCTAAATTAGACATCAGGCACTAAGGGATGTCAAACAAAGGACAAGAATCAATGATATAAGGAAAGCATTTAACATAAAAATATTCAGTCTGCACACCAATATGATTAACAAGCCATAGCTATTTAACTATCTGTTCCATTCATTTCCTGTCCTGTGCACTTTGGCAGGTTGGGAGGGAAGGATGGCCCCATGATTAAAGTGCAGAACTAGGGGTCCAAAAATCTGGGTTAATTTTCCAGCTCTGTTACAGACTTCTAGTGTAACCTTAAGTTACCTAACCAGTATATACCTCTCTATTGAAAGGGGATAATACCTCACAGAGGTGTTGTGAGGCTTTTCTCATTTGCATTTCTAAATCATTTGGACATAGTTATATAAGCACACGCATTTGAAGTGTGCGGGGGGGGCGGGGATGTCTGCTGAGACAGTAAATATCCAAGCATTAAAAACGATGACAGGACAGCATTACCTTAAACTAAAAACTTTAATACTTGACCATTAAGGGCTAAATTCTGCCCTCTGGTGCATGAGTCCTCTGTTGATTTCATTTGGAAGGACAGGATGCATATGTTAGAAGTTCCCTGTGTTGGTTAAGGAAGGGCTGTGTAGAGACTTTGTCCAAACTGGAGGTGAAGTCCCAGCTCATCCAGAGAGTAGAATAAAGGTTGAATATTTTTGCTTACAGGCTCAGCAGATCCTCCCGAGGAGCAAACAGCAGGTCAGACTGGGGTTTGACTGCTGAGGTTACATAGGCATCTCCAATTCTCACCACTGAGAGCAGTGAGTCAGAAAAACCTTGTTCATAATTTTAGTTAGGGAGATGTTTACTTTAGTTTGCTTTCCCTGTCTGTCCTTACATGTTATCTCTTTTATTATTTTCTGACATGATTTGAAGCTTGGTTCAATTTCCCTTTTCTATTTTGTATATTTGTTTATAGCAGTAGTGTTAGACTTGGTAAATAAATTACACCTTTTTATCTCTGTTTCCCCCTATCTTGTGGAGACTGGTTTATTTAAAACAATAATAGTAATAGGTGCAGTACAAGGGAATCGAAGCTAACGGGACCACTTTCAAGATATGATAGTAATAATATACGGATCTATGGAGACCATTCTTAACCAAAAAAAGGTAAACGCTAAAAAGAACATTACATTGGTGGCACTGAAAACCTATTTATTGTGTAAATCTTCTACCAGAAAGATCCACCCAACTGTGTCGTGCAGCTGGCTGGTTTAAAGATTAAAGGTTGTCACAAATGATAAATGAATTATGCCAAAAATATAATGCCTAAAACCGGTCTGGTTGCTAAATAGGCTCGTGCCATGTCCAAATTGATGGTAGCCCTTATGAAGTCCAGAGACTATGTGGGGTCTAGGATCAATTTCGACGCTGACTCTGAGTGGCAAAAGAAGGCTGAGCAACATGGAGGTTGATGCATAGACTTCTTGCCTGGACAGCACAGTTAGAGGCCAATTGTTGAGACAAGGAAACACGAGGACACCATAACATCTGACATAAGCTGCTACGATGGAAAACACCTTGGTGAAGACCTGGGGAGCAGCGGCTATTCCAAAGATGAGCACTCTGTACTGGAAATAGCAGGCGCTCACTGTGAACCTGAGGAAATGTCGGTGGGCTCCATGGATATCTATGTGAAAATAAGCAACCTTCATATTGAGAGCCATAAACCACATGCCTTTCTCTGTCAACAGGATAATCGCTGCCAGCATGACCATACGAAACTTGAGCTTGTGAAAGAAGCGATTAAGGTGCCAAAGATCGAGGATTGGTCTCCATCTGCCTGTTTTCTTGGGTATCAGTAAGTAAGCTGAGTAGAACCCTGTTGCTTCATCCAGAGATAAGGAGGGAAATCTAGCTGGTTGTGGAGGCACTGTCAGGACCAGACTAAGTGATTCTTCCTCTACTATAGGATCCGAACACCTGCTGGAAGGATCCCTTAAGGGGAAGCAGGTGAAGATTTCCTTGCGGACTGGGCTAGTTCCAAGGGGGGGAGGTATAGGGACAAGATTCCCCAGTATGGCCAATAGGCTGGATCCCAGGGAGGTTGTGGTGTCCCCACGGCATGGGGTACCAATGGCTCAGAGATGGTTGAGGTGGTAGATGTTGCCATGAACGTGGCAGTCTCCG